CTAAAAATGGGTTTACTAAAAGGAATATTTCACTCTCAGCTTTTAAAAATATCATTTGCAAAGCCCAAGTAGATATTCTGAAAGGAACAACTGTAATTAGAGTAGTCAAGTAATAACCATAAACAATTAATACCGTTTTTAAAAATTGTAATATTTTTTGCCTGTTGAGAGGGAAGAGCTTTTTTAATATCTATAATTCAGAGGATTTGAATAAAAACATTTGTAGAAAAACAAATGGAGAACTTCAGTATGTGTGTTGCCTTTAACATGTCCTTCTTCTGAAATCATTAAACGTTTGCAGATTTCCCAGAAAATAAAAAGAAAAATCCATTAATGAAGTATGTAAGAAAGAGGCCTTCTAAAAAAAAGAACAGGGAACATATATGAATGTTTTATTTTGAGCTTAATTCAAGTGGACATAGTGGCCTGCTACCAGGTTTGTGCTACAGCTGCTTGTAAGATGAGCAGAGAGCATTTTGATACAGTAGAATTTATCTCCTCCAATATTTGGAATAAGCATGGACATGAAGTGTCAACATGAAGTTGATGACAAACATCAGAACTAAGTGTCCAAAAAAACAAGCAGTATGAAGCAGTTCCCTAATTCCCTTCCACATAGGTACAAGCACCTGCTCTGCCCTTTTTCTTCCAACTGTGCAGCTCTGGAAGACAGCGTCTCAGGCAGGCCAAGAGAGCTGGTGGTCTCCGTGCTGGTGGGGTCAGGGAATGTGTCAAACCTCAGCATGTATTTGGGTGTGAAGTGGATAAACCCAGAGGGAACAACACGGACCTGCTTCTCAGAGAGACAAAGTGCTACATTGTTGTCCTGCTGCCTTCTCCAGCAAAGCAAAAACATGGAACCAATTTTCTCTGTGCTCTTTCACTGGCGGATAGAGCACCTGCATATGACTCTGGTTCAACCATGTCCCCAGGCCCTCGGTACAAAGAATACTAACGCGACTCTTACCCCTTTTAAACACAAAGATGGCATTGGTTCTTTCAAGCATTCTAATCAGTTCTACACAATAAATATTTATGCACAATACAGATTGTTTTAATGAGATGAGGAATGCATACTGGCTAGGAAAAACAGGGAAGAAAATACCAAGTTTGCTAAGTTGTTATCCAGATTTTCATATGGAATGGCTCAGAGAATGGAAAACAGAGGATATTTACATGTTCTGGCCTACTGGGAACATACCAAGAGGCTGCATTACATTCAGGAATGTTGCCATGTGTGCATAGCAGGAAACCACTTGTTGGTTGCTCACACAGTAGCAAATTGAGAGAGAGGAAGGGAAGCGCTCAGTATGAGATATTTGTGAAAACCTAACAGCATAAAGCCCGTGTCTAACAAACTAAACAAGTTTGTTGCATACCTTTCTCAAGCCTATAAATAGCACAGGACTATGTAATGGAAACCCTCCTGCTACTGAAAGAAAATGCACAGTGCGTTATATCCTCCTGTACTTTTGAAAACTGCCTTTCTGAGAAAGGAATTCAAGCTGAAAGATTTATGGAGAAATAGAAGGAAATGTCCCTGTTTTATCACTTGTGCAATAGCAGTCTGGAAGCTACGATTTGCTGGAAGCAAATGGGAGGAACATCCCCCTAGCTAAGGAAAAGGTATCGTGCTTTCTCCTTTTCCAAAACTCTGATTTTGTGTTTAAGAAACATCACAAAGGAAATGTCAGCTGCTTTTGAAAGTATTGAAACTTTTGGTACCCTTTTTTCATTACCAGCATCTCACATGGAGTATAACCTCTACCCAGACCTTGCCCACATTCACAGGATGCATAAAGGTAAGATTAAAAGTGTTTCCTGTTCCTTGAGAAAATGAGAATGGATGAAAATGTTGCATGCAGGGATTACAACGTGCACAATTCACCTTCTTACATTTTGTCTCCATGGTGCTTTGGCTTCCAATAGAAAGAAAACTTTATAATAAACCTCTTGTACTTGAGCAGCTCTGTCAGTCACAGCTACATAAATTGCACATAGCGCATGCTTTGTGAATTCAGTACCAAACTAAAAACGTCCCATCAAAAACAGGATACTATTCAGTATGAGTTCTTCCACAAGATCAACAGTGTCGTTCCCAGATGTTCAGTACCATCTGCGACCTGTCTGTTAAGCACAGCTCCTGTTCACCGTTCTGCATATTGGTAGACAGCCTTTTGAGTGGCTGACAGGAGCTGGAGCTACAATCCTCTCTCTTCCCCTCTGTCTCTGCCACATCTACATAGAAACACAAACCCATGGACTTCTAGAAGAATATGAATGAGAAAATACCAGGAAGTATAGCAAATCCAAATTCCAGGCAAAACCGCAGAGCTGAAAGAACAATCTTCTCAACAAATTTTATCTTAGTCACTTCCTTGACTGCAGTTTTCTCAAATTTACTTGCTGTGTAAAAACATTCACTGACTTGTTTCAGGGAATCATTGCAGGCCTTCATTGAATTCCAGGGCAGTTTTGTACATTTTGACTCTGCACTGTTTTGAACTGTTATGCTCAATTATGAAAATCATGATCACTTTTGTATTCCCTGAATATACCAAAAAAAAAATAAATAACATCAAAGCTTCTTCTTGGCTATTCAGGTTAGCAAGAACTAAACCTGCATATTATCACTACTCACTTCAAATCCTGGCTTTTGTGAACTTTACTGATGAGAAAGCAAACACAGAAAATGTTCAAACAATGAAAAATAAAATCTTTTAGAAATGTGAAGAAATATTCCACTACAACATGGTTATGAAGAATGTTACTTCAACCATACAATGAGATAAACAATGGAGAAGTTTAAATATTTTGGAATTTGCCATCCTATTCTTTGCCTTCAGCTCAAACACAATTTGTTCATAAGTGAAAAAAAAACCTTCCATGTTAAACCAATTTTAAACTGGCAGCAACTGCGTCAATAGTCACACTTCATGTCATGCTGTGATTATGTGATTTTGCTGTAGAAACTCTGAGACTTATTTCATGCCATATTGCAAAAAATCTATAACAAATGTAACCACTTGCAAAATTACATATAACACACAATGTAGGTGCTTAATTCTTTCCTCTTTTAGTATGTTAAAACAACTTCTTCTATCTTCTTTTAATTTAGACAATCTTTCCTCCTGAATTTTCTTTAAGAAAATAAAAATTTGTTTATTGTGAGAAAAAGCATGAAAGCTCCATAGGCATAAATTCATAATTGCTCTCATCACATTTAACTCCTTGCAGAGACACTCAAAATCAATTATTTGGTGTAGAGGAACAAATGTCCTTCCCTGCCCCTATTAAGGGGAATCATAAAAGATGCCTTGTAAATTTATGTAGTCTTCCATAAAGCATCCTTTGCTAGGAGCTGATTTGTCTCCCAAGTAAAATTCTGGATTGCACTGATTCCAGAAAAAAATTTTGTCTTTATATTCATCTTAGTCAATATTTGATGCTGTGAAGATATAGTGTCAGCCATCACAAAATCTCATCCCCTGGTAACTGTGTGATTAGAAGTATGCAGTTGGACCCAGAGCTCTAAAAGGGGTGAGAGTTCCCGGTGCTGTGCACTGCTGGCACCTCTGGTTTCACCTAAAAGAACACCACAGAGGAGTGCCATGTGATTTTCTTATGGAGAGAACTGCTGATGAAGGATTTGTATCTGCATAATTTGAAGTTTGGTTCTGCAAAGGAGGATCAGTGTGATCAGTTTGATCAGTTTGAAGTTTGATCCCGGGGTGTGGGTGATTTTACTGAGGGCTTTGCCCCAGGGCAGCCTGTGAGGAAGAAGATCCCAGGTGTCCTAAAGCAGTTAGGATACTTTCTATTGTATTCAGGTGCAAGGACGGAGGCACAGATACATTTCAGGCACGGACGCCTGGTAATCTGTTGCCCCTAGTTACAGCTAAGATAGAGTTAATTACTTCTCAGTAGCTGTTACAGGGCTGTGTTTTGGATTTGGAGTAAGAATGCTGCTGATAACACACTGATGGTTTGGTATTGTGCCAAGTCGTGTTTATCCTAAGTCAAGGACTTTTTTTTTTTTTTTTTTTTTTTTTTTTTTTTTTTTTTTTTTTTTTTTTTTTCCCTTGTCTCATGTTCTGCCAGGAGGCAGTACGCAGATGAAAGTGGGAGGGAGCATGGCCGGGACAGGTGACCCGAACTGACCAAAGGGATGCTCCGCACCACAAAACGTCATGCTCACTCTGTGAAAAGGGGGGAGTTACCTGGAAGGGCGGATGGTCTGGTTTCAGGAAGGGAAGGCCTGGCTCAGTCAGTGAGCAACGACATTGTTGCGGCTGTTGTTGTAGCTGTTGCTTCAATTATTAAGTTCTCATGTCAGCATACAAGTTTTAATTCGATTCTCCTCCGCATTCCACCGATGTGAGGGGATAGGAAAGGGAGAGGCGGGGAGAGCCGCGGTCTGCTTCATCTCTATTGGAGTTGAAAACCACAACAGCTACGCCTCCCTCCTCCTGCTCCGCCCGCCCCCAGTGCGTCCACCGGCGGCTCTGTGCGCAGGCGGCGGGGCGGGCTGNTGTCGCGACACCGTCTCTCACGAGGCTGGCGCCGGGCCCTGCCCGGAGCCGTGCGGGGCCCTTTGGGATCCATCCCCGGGTCACGGGATCGATCCGGTTGGAAAAGGCTGCTGAGATCAGCGAGTCCAGCCCGTGCTCGAACACCACCACCCTGGGAACCAGACCGTGGCACCAGCCTTTCCTTAAACGCCTCGAGGGACGGCGACTCCACCACGTCCCCGAGCAGCCCATTCCAGTGTCCCATCTCTGCTTCTGTTTATAGTTCTTTCTGTTGTCCAGTCGGAACCTTTCCCGCTGCAGCTTGAGACTATGACCTCTTATCCTGTCGCTGTCCTCGGCCTGCAAGAAGTGTCCGACCCCCACCTGGCTATACGCTGCTTTCAGGCAGCTGTAGAGAGGGATAGGGTCAGCCCTGAGCCTCTTTTTCTCCAGGCTAAACAGCCCCAATTCCCTCAGCTCCTCCTCATAAGACTTGTGTTCCAGACCCTTCACCAGCTCCATTGCCCTTGCCTGGAACAGAAGCAGTCCTGCAGTGTCCCAGTGTCTGCCTAAGCAGAAAGCTTCAGGGCCTCTCATTTCCCACAGAAATGCAATATGGAATGGGTCGGTGCTGCATGCAGGCTTCCCACTGTGTCAGGATCCTGCAGGGGTTTATAACAACCCCAAGGAGCGGTGGTTCATGGCAGCCAGCACTAGATGTGTCATGCTCCAAGGGCCACTGAGGAATAAAGCCTTTGGTTTGCACCTTCTGTATCCAACGACCTGTAACTGCAGCCAGCCTGGGGTCAGGCTCTCCTTCCAGGCAACAAGTGATAGAGTTAGACGAAGTGGCCTCAAGTTCTCTAAACCAGGAGAGGTTTAGAGTGGATATTAGAATTTTTTTTTTCACTGAAAGGGTTGTGAAGCACTGAAACAAGTTGCCCAGGGGAGTGGTGGAGTCACCATCCCTGGAAGTATTCGAGAAACAGGTAGATATGTCACTTGAGAATATGTGGTTTAGTGGTGGACATGGAACATCTGGATTCACAGTGGATAGGATGATAAAGTAAATTCTAAACATAAACAATTCTGTTCTGGTTATTAATGGTGCTCATGCCTGCAGATTCTTGTGAAATGGGACATGTCCAAAATCCATCCTGTAGCTGCCTCTGTGCAAACATGGGCTATGGCCAAAGCTGTGTTTTGGCCTTGATTTTTCATGTTTTATTTGAGAGGTGAGTAGCATGTTCCAGGTTATTGAGGCAGTTGCAAAAGTACACTTAGTCTGGGACTCCCAGAGGGTTTTACCTAGCATGAGCAGAAAAACTGTTCTTGATCAGCCCTTGGGAAGCAGCCAGTAAAGAACTAGGATGTGGACTTAAACGATCATGTGTTAGAAGGAATCATTCTTTCCCAAGTGTTGGTATCTTTTTCCTTCATTTGCCAATAATACGTAATTTGTTAATACTGGTATAAGATTAAAAGTAGAAAACACGGTGCAGTAGCGTGAGTTGGTTGGGTAAGCGCAGCACAGGCAGATGTTGGTGTTGCTTCCTCTTTGGTGGCATCTCAGCAGCCTTGCTTTTGAATAATGTGTTTAGCCAAATGCGTATTGCTGCTGACTTCCTGAGGAAGAGGAAAAGGAAAATCCTGCTTTGTTATGAGCTAATAATTGAACAGTTGAGTGCATCAAATAAATGACACATCACAGTCTGTTGCATTGCCAAAAGGAGTGGCAAATAATGGACATTGTTACTACTTACAAAGAAAAGTGTCAAAAGGTATTTTTTTTGTAGTGGATGTCACAAGGTAAGTACTCCTCTCCCAACCTGCCGTAAAAGATCCTTCTGTAGTTCTGCATTAATTAAAAAATACTAGGCAGAAAACAACTTTCTGCCTTGAGAATTACTTTTACTATTTTTTTTCACTATTTTCTTTCAGGTACGCCTTGCTACAGGGCCCAGACAAAATAATGGCATTTTCTACGAAATTCGCACATATGATATTAAGCCAGCAAAGATGAAGGAGTTTTTGGAAATGGTCAAGAAGTACTTTCACTTTCGCACAGCTCACTCAGAGCTGGTGGGATTCTGGTACTCGGAGCTGGGAGCGATGAACAGGGTGCTCCACATTTGGAAGTATGGTACGGTCAGCATCCCTTTGCGCTGTTCTGCTCTCTCTGTGTCCCCTGTTTCCTGGGCAAGAAGGTGAGGGGAATGCTCTCCTGGCTTCTATTTGTTGTTCTTACTGTAAGGAGGTGCCCCCATAACATTGCTCCTGTACTGGTTTAGTGACAAGAACACTAAAGACCTTGTCAGAACAACTTCAACGTGTTGGGATGAGAAAGTTACAAATGTTCTTGAACAGCAGTCTCTGTTCAAAACAGGTATAACAGAGGAACTCTGTGGCTGAGTGTTTCATTCATGGTAAATATTTTTAACTTAGGGTCATTTCCGCAAACGTCTTGAAACTTTCAAAATTAGTAGAAAAAAGGAAATATGCACGCATATGCGGTCTGTGTGTGTTTATATGCATGTATAATTTTACTGTATTTTAGCTGAGACTACCAGTCACTCACATAAAAAAATGAATATGCTGTTTGCATGTTTAAACTCCTTCTGCAGTGGGCCTGTACTGAGGTTGGAAGCCGCTCCACCAGGTCTGACTTCTCAAGTGTGCAGAGTGTTTTTGTTGCAGCTTTAACCTTGCTATCAATATGATTTTTGCAGTATGATCACCTTTTTAGGTTGTTGGAGTTAGTTTTGACATGGAAGGTGCAGGTGAACCAAAAAAAGCTACTATTATGCTAAAAGCTAGGTGTGCTGGCTGTGCTTTTTGTGGAACCCAAGGGAAGTGATACTTGGGTTATAGAGGGGTGGGAAGGCACACCGGTATAATTCCCCTTAAACACCTGCTGCAGTCCAGCTGCATGTTGACACACTGCACTCATTGAAGTCCAGCTCCGTCACAACACCTGTTTCAATTAAGGGAAATCCCTTTTGTTTTGGAGGGATGAATTGTGGAAGCATAGACTTAGAGAATCGTTTGGTTCCTCTCAGCTATACTGCTATGTGCCTCATCCAGCCTGGCCTCTAACTCTTCCAGGGACTGGGCATCCACAGCCTTCTCTGAGCGATCTGCTGCAGTGCCTCAACATTCTCACAGTGAAGGATTTCTTCATTATATCTAATCTAAGTCTTGCTTCATCCCAGAAGGTATTTAAGGCCAAGCTGGATGGAGCTCTGAGCAACCTAGTCCAGGGGGGGTGTCCCTGCACATGGCCAGGGAGTTGGAATTAGGTGATGTTCAGAGGTCCCTTCCAATCCAAACCATCCTGTGATTCTCAATCTACCCTCTGTCAGCTTAAAGCCATTCCCTCTTGTCCTATCACTACATGCCCTTGTAAAAAGGTGCCTCTCCAGCTCTCTTACAGGCTCCCTTTAGGTGCTGCAGTGTTGCTGTAAGGTCTCCCTGGAGCCCTCTCTTCTTCAGGCTGAATAGCCCAAACTCTTTCAGCCTGTCTTCACAAGACAGGTGCTTGAGCACTTGAATTATTTTTGTCACCTCCTCTGATGTCAATCAATCTCCTCTCATCCACCAAAGCTGTAACCCCATCACAGAAGGCCACCAAATTAGTCAGGCACTATTTGCTCTTAGTGAAGCCATGTTGGCTGTCACAAATCACCTCATGGTCTTCTATGAGCCTTGGCATATTTTCCATAAGGATCTACACCTTGATCTTGCCAGGCACAGAGGCGAGACTGACCAAGCTGTAGTTCTGCAGTTCTTCCTTATGTTCCTTTTTAAAAATGGGCTGCCATAACTTCTCAAATACAACAAATTGTGGCTTAGCCACCTTCTCTGACAGTTTCCTCAGGACCTGTGAATGTATCTCATTGTGTCCCATTGATTTGTGCACCGTCACGTCCCTTAGATGGTCTCAGACCAGAATTTTTCCTACAGCAGGTCATTCTTCATTCTCACAATCCCTGCCTTTGCCTTCTGTGACTTGCGTGGTCTGGCTGGAGCATTTGCCAGTGCAGACCAAGGCAAAAAAGGACATTGAGTCCCTCAACATTTTTCATGACCTGGGTAGCCATGTCTTTGTTTTCCTTCAAGAGAGGGCCATTCATTTGTCAATATTTTGAGTTCACTTGAATTTAAAAATTGTCCTGCTTCTCAGAACATTTTAGTCTTGGCTATTGTTACTATCTCTAAATAAAAAAAAAATAAAATATGGGAAACCTTTAAAATGCAAAGTTAAGGCAAAACCTATACCTTTTGTTTCCTTACACTAATTTACATGTCTAATTGTGATGGTTCCTCCCCCCCACCCTGAGACCACACTATTATCTGAGAAATGAACAAATTTCACAACATTCTTCCTCCTTGATTCATCAGACCCCTGCTTCCATAATTGCTATGTTTACCTCTTTTTTCCCAAGCTACTGATATTTCTCAAGTTTTTCCCATTCTCAGATGCTGGATTTTCTTTTGTAATGTTGGGAGCTGTCTGCATAAATATATTGCTTAAGATGCCACTGCAGCCTAAGCAGCTGAAATTCATGCTCTTAATTAAGTGGATTTGTTTTCCAGTAAGAAAAAAAAAAAGAAGAAAAAGTTTAGCTATTGGGCATTTAACATCTTTTTATGTAATGGAACACACAAGCATTAATTCTACAGTTTAAATGTCACTTTATATAAGCCAAGCCACATTTATTATTTTTTTTCTTGATAGGCTATTACTTCTCCTGATTTTTATTTTTTTTCCACTTCATTTCCATATCCACTGTGCTTTCTCCAAATCTTATCCTTGGTAACTGTTGCCACATCCAGTAGACCCTGCAATTGCCATGTTCAAATCTATTTTAACAGTAAAATTGCTTAACTTATTTTAACTCCTTTTGTAAACTTTCTTGGAAATCTTCATTTTGCTTGATTCCATTTTAATGTGAGAGCTAACGCAGATTTTAAAGGAAGTTTTGCAGAATTTAAAGGAAACTTACCACATCTGCTTTGAGCTAATATGATGTCTGAAAACTGCCAGTTTCAAAATTAGATGTCGTTTGCCTTCTTGTAATTATACATTTTGATTGAGTCTGACGTGACATCATACGCATTTTTTCATGCGTTTTTTTTCCTTTCTTACAGATAATTTTGCCCACAGAACAGCAGTCCGGCATGCACTAGCAAATGACAAAGACTGGCAGGGAAAATTCATCTCTGCAGCTCTCCCCTTGATGGAGAAGCAGCACAATGAGGTTGCTTATCTGGTGCCCTGGTGTCAACTTGGGAAGCCTCCAAAGGAAGGGGGTGAGCTTATCTTTTCTTTTGCTGATTCAAGTAACCGGCACTAACAAAAAATGGCTTAAAGTTCAAAACAGGTATTGCATAGTTTTGTCTCCCTTTATGTAACAAATGCATGTACATGCTTCCATGTGGAAAAGGTGACATAACACAGATGAGGGACAGAGATTTTCAGAAGGATTTTTCACTAAGGTGCATCAATAACTGACTGAGTGCTGATCATTAAGGTTGTTAATGATCAGGATTGTGACTTGCTAAATGAACATGCAAAATGGCAATGCCATAGTAGTGATCAGAGCAGTCATCTCAGATTTCCTTTGTCTGTCCATCAGTGAGAGGGCATTTCCTGGATAATCATTCTCTTTCACAGAGAATGTCCTCTTATCAATTTGCTTTGATGTTACTGCTTCTTTCACAAAAAGTTTAAAAGATTTCCTACTTTTTTAAAGATACATGAAAGTCAAACATGAGGATCTCTCCTTGATCTTGCCAGGCGCAGAGATGAGAGTAACCAAGCTGTAGTTCTGCAGTTCTTCCCTTTTTGGAACAATTATTTGTAACAATCATAGGTTAAGTGTAGAAGTCATGTCCCTATGTATTTTAATTCTCTCTGTAGCAAAGTTGATATTAATAATATTGAGTGTTCCTCCGTATATGAACATTGGCAGGCTTTCTTGCATGAAGTGACAGGGAACAGACCTTGCTTCAGCCCTCAGCACATATCCAGATACAGTAATCTTTGTTCTTTATTTCCCCAGGATTCTGAATTTTATGCTGCTACTGTTGAATTTGAAAGCAGTCCTGTTTTCTCTAAAATCTGGAGAGACGACTTCAAACACTGTTGTAGTTTATCTCCAGCCAATTGTTGGAGAGTGACACCAGACACTGCCAAGTAGCAAGTGTCTGGCTTTCTGTTTCTGTGCCAACGATAATGATATGAAGTAACTACCTGAACAGAAAGAAGACAAGTAACTTTTAGAAGGACTGGAGGTTTTTTTGCAAATTATGCCATTTCTCTACAAATAAGGGAGATCGCTTGGCACAGCAGAGGTGCTAAACTAGTCCTGCTGTGCTGGCTGTGCTGTCAGATCTTACTGTGACCAACTGCCAGGAGTCAAAGGGGTTTGTAATCTCATAAACCTCCACAATGCCAGAAACCAGCACCAGTCTTAGTAAAGACACCCAGCATTGTTCAAGCAGCTACAAAATCCCTCAAACAAGTATGAGCAAAGTAGGCTGAATGTCTTGATATTTCCATGCAACATTGAAAATTGTAAAGTTGGGCTTTGTGTGAAGCTTTCTATTCTTCAGGGCCCTCATACTTAGCTTTACACTTGAACTAACTACAGTTAGTGAGCCTGTGCTCTTGTGAGCCTCTGGAAGCTGTGAGTTCTTATGTGTGCTAGGAGTAAGGGGCAGTTTCCTGCTGTCCCCATGACAGGGAAACGTCATACTGGTCTCACAGCAAGTACGCTGTGGCCATGAGACACAGTTCAAGATCTGCTGTATTAATTTGTATTTCCTTCCTTGTGGTAGTGTTTGCCTTTTCTTCTAGGTGTATATGAATGGGTTACTTTCCAGATGAAGCCTGGTGGGCCAGCATTGTGGGGTGAAGCATTTCGAGCTGCAATCAGTGCTCACATCAACACAGGATATACCAGCCTGATAGGTGTTTTCCACACAGAATATGGATTACTTAACACAGGTACTCATCAACTTCTGATACAGACTTTGGCATGGGAAAGGGCAGAGGCAGAGGGGCAAGCCCTTGTCCTGGATCAGGATTGGCCAGCTAGCTGAAAATGTTGGTGTGGATCACCAAAGTCCTGTAAACAGTCCTTGAACTCAACTTTGTGTATTGGATTATAGACGTAAGCCAGTTGTCACAATCTTAAAAAGACTTTCAGATCTGATGCTAAAGTCAAACCATGCAATGGCTCAGTAAAAGATCCTCCCACTACTGGGTGGGATGCCTGGAGAATTGCTTTTGATAACTGCATCTGTAACAGATGAAGGCAGATGGCTAGGACTTAGAGTACGTGTTGTATTGCAGCATAATAGTGCTCAGCTGACTTTATTTGTACTTTCTCAGTTCACGTGTTATGGTGGAATGAGAGCCCAGATCACCGGGCAGCAGGAAGACACCGTGCCCATGAAGATGCCAGAGTTGTAGCAGCTGGTAAGACATGATGAATCTAGAGAACTCACTTGTGTGTTACCTGAATGCATGCTGAGAAAAGTATTACTTTGCATTGGAATACTGTCTTAATTAAACGTGCATTTAATTTTAGTGCGCGACAGTGTCAGATTCTTGGAGTCGCAGCAAAATGTGCTTCTGATTCCCCTGGAATGCTCACCGCTGAAGTAAACTTCTTCTAAAGGACATAACTGATGGCAGGAGAGACAAGATGGAAGTGCTGTCAGCAAGTGACATGGATCCCCATACCCTCATGAGCTGAGCTGTTCTTCAGCTGACAAAAAATGGATGCAAAATACTGATCCGCTAGCAATGTAAATCAGCACAATTGATACCAATTGTTAAACAGAAGTTTATGGTGATGTTCCTATGTCTCCAGGACAAAGAACTCAAGCCATATCATGACATAAACCGTGCTTCACCAATCATCTGTTTTAATTCCTAAGTTCTTCGTAATTTTTTGCATAGCTAGATCCCTTACCAAACTGAGTAAGTTAAGTGCTCTCGTCCAGCATTCCAGACAGGGATGGTATAATTTTTGTAATATACTTTGATGAAAAATCCTTTTTACTTAATAACATGTCATGGTCCATTTCAGCCTTTTCCTTTATTGTTCATTAAACATTGCCTCAAAACTGTGAGTTATCCACACAAGTTTTGCCTCAGGTATTTTAAAACTTGCTGAGGGTGCTGAATCTGATTAGTCCTTCTTGTTCAATTGTGTCGTCAGACTCATCTGATTTACATTCTTTGAAATACTTTTCGTCAGGCTAGTAAAAGCTAAATAAATGAGCAGAAAGCATTAATTTTTAGTGTTTATGGCTCAAGTTCTTTTTAAGCTGTGAGATGATAAATCCCATTCTCCAAGTACAATATTCATTTTGCAGGTTTTGTCTTTTGGTCAACAACAAATTGCTTTAGAACCAGTAAGCTGGAGTGAATAGCAGTAGGACAGAGGGCTCATGGGCTGAGAAGTCAAACTTCTGTTTTGTGTACAGTAGTACAGAGCACCCTCTTCTGCAATTTATAGGTATTGACTAGAAATTGCAGAGCACTTGGGAGGCTATTCTACATGTTTACCATGGATCTGCAATGAGCAATTGAGTACTGAAATATCTATGTGCAGTTTGCATAATGATTACTGCCTCTTATAGGGCCTTAAGATCTCACAGAAAGCACTAAATTACGTTTGTGCCCAAGGTGGATGCATGGTTTGTGGTGGCTGTAGTTAAGGGAGTGTAACGGGTCTCAGCTGCTACATCTCTGTCTTCATACAGTGCTCTCTCCCACTAGGCTATGTTTAGCATTCTCAGGGTGGAACAAACACAACTTCAGAGACTTCTGTCTTACATTTTATAGATCAACTTTTTAAGGTACAAAGACCTGATGAGCCAGTATATTGTTTAGAACATGGCCTTACAACTGTTTTTCAAAGGAAGATTTTTTTTTTTTTTACTAACAAAAACATGGGCTGAAAACTGGGAAGAGAGAATTAAAGGACTTTAACTTTTTTTTTTTTTTTTTTTTTTTTTTTTTTTTCATTTGCAGGCAAGAATTCAAGTTTCACTGAGGTTTTTTGGTTGGTTGGTTGTTCTTCTGTTTTTAATTAAAACTATTCCTTAACATCAGCATTGAGAATAAGGAACATTCAGGATGTTAGAGGTGTACTTTATCCTGAGGTGCCAGCTGGACATGAGATCAGAACAGAAAACCCAGGAAATTAAGAGGGCTGGGCAATCATCATCCACATGAAGTTCAACAAGGGAAAGTGCTGGATGCTGTGCCTGGGCAAGGAAAACCCTGGGTGTACAGACAGGTGGGGGACAAGATGCTGGAAAGCAGCAGGACTGGGCCCTGAGGTGTCCTGGCCACTGTCAAGATGACCATGAGCCAGCAGTGCCCTGGCAGCCAGGAGGGCCAATCCTGTCCTAGGGTCCATCAGGCACAGCATCACAGCTGGATGAGGGAGGGGATTGTCCTGCTCTGCTCTGGGGCAGCCTCACCGCCAGTGCTGGGGACAGTTTGGGGTGCCACTGATGCCTTTTGGCACCTAAAAACAGAGGCCAGACAAAGTTAAGGGGAATAAAAAGCAGTTATGTTTATTGAAGGGCCTTCAGGTACATTTCAGGCAGCTGGAGCCCTCACCCAGGGGCTACACCTAAAAACAGATGACAGGTCACAGGCTTTCATACTTGTATTTGGTCCATTTGCAGACTGGGGGTTAATCTTCTAATTGCAGCTCCAGGTAATGAAGTCATTTACCCTATGTTTGCTCCCCCCCAACTTACTTTTGTTTACATCTTTTGGGGCCTGAACAGATGTCTGTTATTCCCAGGCTTGGAGAGGAATTGTTTTGTCTGACCAAAATGGGAAAACAGTAGCTAACAATCTGTATGTTTAGAGTTAGGCACTAAAGAATTGCAGGATTACCAATATATGAAAAATACAAAAGCTAAAATTCTAATGAATCATTACAATATAAAAAAGATACTAAGCCATTAGAAAGGGTCAACAAAATGGTGCAGAACCCTGAGGGGAAGCAAAATGAGGAGCATCTGAGGTCCCTTGGTTTGTTCAGCCTAGAGGAGAGTAAGAGGAGACCTCATTACAGTTATAGCTTCCTCCTGAGGGGAAGAGGAGAGGCAGACACTGATCTTGTCTCTGGCACCCAGTGAGTGACAGGACCTCAGAGAATGACCTGAAGTTGTGTCACAGGAAGTTTAGGCTGGGTATTAGGAAAAGCTTCTTCACCCCAAGGGTGGTTGGGCACTGGAACAGGCTCCCCAGGGATCTGTGATCACAGCACCAAACCTGACAGAGTTCAAGAAGTGTTTGGACAATGCTCTCAGGCACATGATGTGACTCTTAAGGATGATGTTGTGCAGGGCCAGGAATGGGACCTGATGATCCTTTATGGTCCCTTCCAACTCAGCATGTTCTGTGACTCTGTGAAATTTTAATTGGCTTCTTAACTCAGGCAGAATTTTCCTGATGAGTGCAACTTCAGGAATTGGTTAGATATTGGAACTTGGTTGATGGTGATACTACAGGCAGCAGATAAGATTTTAGTATCAGTTTATCCTTGAGCAATCACACTGTTATTCTGCTTTCATTTGTAAACTGCTGTTCAAAATCAACCAACTGTATAGGATGTTTTTTATGCCAACTGTATAGGAAGGAGGAGCAATCAGCAGCTCACAGCTCTGTAATAAAAATTCAGAGGCAGGTACTTGAGTTGGGATTTAAACATCCAGAGAAGTTTGTTATGCTTTGCAGTTGGATTTGACAGTTAACCAATCACTTGCTAGAGACCTTTTTATTTAATAACTTTAATATAGCACTTACCTTTATATCTTGTATGTCCTCATTTACCTGAAAATAGTGTATCTACTCCATACTAGTTTTTAGAGCTACTGAAATCTCATGAATCAAAGTTCACAACAAAATAAAACCAAGCAAAACAGAAGCTTCTAGCAGTGCTCCTTGAAATAAAAAATGCAAAAATTACCCTTGTGAAGACCAGTGGTGCTATAACAGCTTTATTTTTTTACTTAATACAAGGCAATTAGAGTGCCTTTTAATACTTCACATAACAGATATTAGCAAATACAAATATATATACTTTTTTTTTTTTTTGCTTTTAATGAAAATGTCCATTTAAGGATTTAACTTAGAAATTTCAGTTGTGAAATCTCTCTAGATTTTTGCAAAGTTAACAGATATTCCAGTGCAAAAATAGATCCCATTACAGATAGCATAAAGTGCTTGGAACGAAGGACCAACTATAATTCAGGAGGGAAAGATAAGCACAAAAGTGGTTGTTTAACCATGGGGGAAATACAACAACTCCTTACTGAAATACAAATGTACTACAAAGAGGGATGCCACATGTCAATAGTACTGAAGTTTAAAATAAGTTAACACCTCAGTGTAGTTTCATTATCAAGAGTGGTTCATATAATATGTATGACTCCAGAGTGATTTTTCCCAAACACATACTTGAATGAGTAAAAATTAGTGGCTGTCTGAACGTATTCCATGACAAGTCTTCATGCCAGTGTTGCATTATGCTGTCTGTTCAGTACAAACAACGCAGATCAGAGCTGTGAAGTAGTCTGGTCAATATCCACATTTACTGCAATATTTTGTCACAGATAGCAGACCCTGTAAGCATGACAGTCATGGGGCAAAAGAAATCAAGAATCTTTTTTGTGGGCTAAGGAAAGTGTATTACCGTGTAACTGTTGTTTCCTGATACATGAATCATTTAAATGAGCAGGTACCAAGAGCAAACCACAGCCCTTCCAGGACCAAATCTGAATCCTCCTAGAACTCGTTCTAGCTCTGCACGCACTAGTTTGGTGCAGTGCAAAGAAGTTAGCCCTTCACTTCAGCGATGTAATGTGGATTTGTAATAGTGACTTGTAGCAGTGGTGAGACTCCAGTACATGCTATTTCTTTCAATGATACCGCCACATAGTTCTGGAGTAGTCATGGTTGTAGCTCTGCTGTTCTGCACTTGGAAGTCTGGCATATTCGTCACCCTGTAACTCATCCCCATAGAGTGACAATGACATAAAGGTAATAACAAAGCATGTTTTAAGTGAGGTATACCAATCCCCATTACACTCCTTTTCTCAATCCCCTCAGCAATGAATTATACAGATAAAAAAAAAAAATAAAATAAAAGTATGAAAAAGGCACTTCAGCAGAGCCTGTACTAAGCTCTTACTTTAACTCAAGGCAGGACACAGAGGGACAAGGAACTTGTTTAAACTGCATTTTAAAAATGTTGAGTTGGTCAGTGTTACCAAGTACACTTGGAAACATGTAATCAATCTTCTTCAGGCTCATGCCAGCCTTTTCAATATTTGGTGGGCTGCTATGGTCATTCACAGAAGAAAATGGTCCATGACTGATTCATGGAGTAGCATCAAAACCAGTGCAGAACCTGCGTGGGTGTTTAAGGCAGAGGCATGGCATACAGGAAAAGCTCAGGAACTGCACCTGTGTTCAGACCACATTACTGAACCAATTTTTGAATGTAAAAGCAACACAGAGGAGCCCAAAAAGCATACTCTCCCATGACCGTTGTACAATGTGAACAAGCATTGGTTGTTCTTACTATATAATTTCCCCTCTAATATTAGTCTGGTTTTGTGAAACTTGAAAAATTGGCTGATGAACTGTAGCACTATTATCTTGAGCTCTTGTATTTTTCAGGGGGATTTTTACTGAAACAGTTGTTTGTCACATGTATAATAAGGGTGTATTCTCCAGTTAGGGATCACCTAATGACTGAAACTACACTGCACAACAGAAGCAGAAACTTACACACTAATGTTATACCAGTTTTCAAACAGGAAAATCTTAGGTGAACAACTTGCAGTTGTTTGCAGATAGCAGCTGATTGCTAGAATCTGGAACATGGTCAGATCATGAATGCAGCTATCCACCACAGGAACAGAGAGACAGCATAGCATTACAGGCATAATGTAAAGAAATACCGTGGCTACAAAGATCAACTGAAAGCATTTTCAATCCCTAATTATGCTACTTATCTATTTAAAGTCATAAATAATACTGTTAAAAAAAAAAAATCTACATCTCGTTTCTAGTTTTATCTGGCAAAGCCAGAAACAGCAACATGCTTATGCTAAGCAGTAATTCCAGATGATGGGTACCTTTCTGCTGCAAAGCAGGGGTTAAAGAGCAGATATTACAAATCTGAGTGACAGTCATGATTTAGAATTTGCTCTTGGCATTAGCAGCTTGTACAACTACTGAGTTTGCTGCTGTGGTCCAA